CAGGCAGACAGACAGACAGATAGACAGACAGACAGAGAGAGATAGATAGAGAGAGAGAGAGAGAGAAAGAGAGAGAGAGAGAGAGAGAGAGAGAGAGAGAGAGAGAGAGAGGGGGGAGACATGGGTGGAGTCAGCTAGAGCCGGAAGAGAGATGGAAAAAAGTTCTAAACAAAAACAGGACAAAAGCTTGGATCAGGTATCACAAATATCTCCACGGCGACGTTTTAAGAGAAATTTAGAGGGGAACATAACTTCTGTTTCTTGATTAAAATTTTTCTCCTCAAAAGACTGCAAGCAGCGTGATTTATTTATAAAACTATAATATGCTCAGACGAGGAAGAAATAGGAAATCTGACCCAGGCAATCCTCATTTCAGCAATAACATTGCTTTGTTTTGATATCGCGAAAGACTTCAGCCGGGTTGAATTTCTTGTTAAAAAAAAAAAAGAAACAAAAAAAGAAGAAAAATTATCGATGCCACTCAAAACATAAGTCAAAGTTTTATGTTAACCTTTTCCATTAACCATACATTCGAATGCTTGATGTAATCACTTTGCAAAGTATTTTGATCGCGGTCTTGTGCGTTTTCCCTCTTTTGTTGACCAACATAATAATGGACTTTTCTTTACCCACTCCACATAATTTTTACTTTACCATTAGAGTTTGTCTAGCGTTTGTAAAAGTTGAAGAAATGTGTAACTGTTGCAAATTTTCACTTCCTCATTTCTTATCAAAGCTTCTTACAATAAGACTTCTCAACATAACCTAAAGCGTAATGTTCAGTTGCCTCGGTACTTTGAGCACTTCAGTTCCTACTCTTCCATATCATACGTTGTCTTTTTTGCTTCTTCATAGACTTGCAATTGTTTTAAGTTTCTATTTCATGTAAAACAAAATTTCACTTGGAAAAATTTCTGCTTTTTGCATGCATGTACTCATCTTGCCCTACGCATTTTATTCTTACAATGTTTTGTTTTACAGTTTCTTTTTAATTGTTTGTTTTATATAAGTAACAGTCAGTTGACTGTTAAGTCATTGTACTCATTTCTTTCGTTTCAGCTTTCAATCTACAAACCTATTTGGAAATACAAATAGTTTACACCGTAGAAGACGATCACATAACCATTTTTTCTCTGTTTACGTGTTACGTTTTGTTACTTCTGATGTTTTAATCAACTCAGGATTCAGGCGACGCTGAACGCTATTGTTATGCCAGTTGATATTTATTATTCTACACTGTCTTTTACTGAATCCTTACTTTTGATATCAGTGAATTTTCTCTTGCACTTTGTTTACATTGCTGTTGGAGACGCTCAAATGTGCTCAATTTCTTCGTTTCTGTAGTTTGAGATTGAATTACTCTTCAATATTTATCTACTACTTGAACAGTCTTTTTATAAGAAGTCTGAATGACTCAGCTACTACATAGATGCAGTTTGGAGCATGAGCTCCCTCAGATTTAAAAAAAAATCTATGAAGGCAGTAAACGTCCCTTCAGTTTTTAGACTGCTGTGCTTGAATATTTATGTTTAGACTAAAAAAAATACCATTATACAAATGAAATCCTCAAGTTTTGTTGCTTCAGCAGTACGTATAAGTCATCAGCGATTCTACTCTCTCAACAATACGCTTTGACCCCTAAGACCAACATTATCCAGATCTTCCCAGGACAGTTCCAAAACACTTCGAGGGCAGATGCCATAATCTAAATAAAGAAATATATCTTCATACAGAACATCAATCCGAAATGACCAGATGTCTTCTTATTTAGATGACGTCACATCTAGTGGCATTTTCAACTTCTCTTAACGATCCCCTACGTGTGTGTGTTCCACAGCCGTATCAGCCAATCATCAATGACCCTGTCCATGTCTCGGGAGTACGAGAAGCCTCCGCACGGTGTGGAGACGCCCGTTCCCGAGGAGCAGGAGACGTCCATAGAGAACAACACAGCTGAAGCCACGCCCTCTAACACATTTTCTAAGAATGGTGAAATAAGTAAGTCAATGAAAGGAATATGAGGCTGTGGTTGCTGGAAATTAAAAGCCGAATCTTGGTCATATTTTCCGTCTTCATAAAAAAAAAAATGTTGAAATAAGAGGAGGGGGAAATTTGTTAACAGGCCCCTCCCCTTTTCCATTTTCCCTTTCCTCACTTAAATGTGTGACGCCCCCATATACATGATTTGAACTATATTAATATAAGACAATGGCTTCTTCGTCATTGCCAGCCGGGGCCAACCCGTACTGTGTGGTATAAGGATGGGCTCGATCAAATTATTCCTCATTCAGAACTCACAGTTTCAATCCGCAAGGCTATTAACCTAACCTCTTTTGAGATACATCATTTTTCCCTACGAAACTGCAGGGTAATATTATACCAATTGTCCCCATCAACACGCTCACATTTAACTGATACATAGGAAGATCTTTCTTTCTGTTTTATTTAAGACTTATAAAAGAATATCGAAACAGAAACGTTTAATTATAGTGCTGATAAAAAATCAAGTGAGACAGACAGAAAAGTGACAAAGTAGTAAGACCTCCCAGAGACGCCCTCCAACCACCCATGAATCTTCTTTGTCTGTCCTCAGTGACAGTGTCAGAGTACGAGTCTGTGTGGACGATACCCGACTCATTCTTCATGCGATGCGTGTTCGTCCTCATCTGCCCAATTAAGGCCATCTTCTACGTCACAGTCCCTGATAGCAGACGACCTGGCATCTGGGCCCGCCTGTATCTCCTCTCCTTCCTCATCTCCGTGGCTTGGATCAGTGGACTCACCTACATCATGGTCTGGATGGTCACAATAACAGGTTTGTTTGAGCCAGAGGTCTCTATCTTCGATACAAATTTTAAGGGGATGTCCACTTATTTTGTTACTGGTATGTTTTGTCTGTCACTTGTAGTTTCAACTGTTGTGTTTGCGATTCGAACTTTGTTATCTAGTGATGACAGGGTGGAAACTGTTGTGGAGAAGAAGAAGAAGAAGAAGAAGAAGAAGAAGAAGAAGAAGAAGAAGAAGAAGAAGAAGAAGAAGAAGAAGAAGAAGAAGAAGAAGAAGAAGGAGGAGGAGGAGGAGGAAGAGGAGGAGGAGGAGGAGAAAAGAGAAGAGGAGAAGGTGCAGGAGAAAGTGGTGGCGGGGGGGGGGGGGCAACTTGGAAAATGAACGTTGAATTACGTGCTTGATCTTGTTTTAATTTGGAAAAATAATGTCAATGGCGTTGCACAACTTAGTCATCATCAACGTTGGAGTGACTATTTTTAATATCTTTTCCCTTACGATCGTTGTGGTGACCATTGTCTGTGTTGTTTGATTATAGCCAATTCTTTCTTTTCTTTTACAAACGTTTCCTTCTACTCTTCTGTTTTCCTTTGCCCGTTTCCTCCTTCTCATCTTCCCTTTCTTTCTTGTTCTCA